AAAAATTAAAAATTCATAATTTTTCTATTTATATGTTGAAATAAAAAGAGGGCTGCTGCTGAAGTTATCTTTATGTGTTATTTAGTAAACAAAAATTCTTGCTATTTTTTGTGTAATGTTTAGTTTTGAACTTAAATTTTAAAAGCTTAGTATAACTAAATTTAGTTGTTTTATTAAAATCTATTTTTTTTTTTTTCAAAAAATTACTTTGTTCATAATTTGTTGAGCCAATTATGAAAAAAATCAATTGTCATGTGAATTTTAAGCTTACAAATTATAAACGAAAAAGGTGAGTGTTATTTTCATTTTAAATTTAAAACTTAAATTTAATTTGTAGTATTTTCATTTCTATATATAGTAAATGCCAAAGATTTTTCTTCTCTTGTGTTTGTATATTGATATTAATTTTTTTCGAAAAAAAAATGTTTACCAAAAAAATTCGTTTATTCTATTTCCGTATAATGTATATGTAATTATCACACAGTGGTTTTCTACTGTTTAGTATAAGTTTAATTTCAGTTAATTTTTTTTTTCTCAAAAGTTATGAAAAATTCTTAATTTTGTTATTTTCATTATTTTTATTATAATATGTAATTTTTATTTATTACTAATTTATAATTATATTAATTATTCCCTTCTATTTGGTATTAAAAATGGCTTAAAAACTTGTTTATATATAAGAAAAACTAAAATTTATGGGGAACTAATTGTTTAATTTTATAAGGAAAATAACTATAGATTTGGTAGATAATGTGAAATTTAAGGTCCAATCCAAATATATATATTTTTTCAAATTTACTCAAGTTTCCAAATACAATAGTTCTACGTGAACCAAGTTAGACAATTGAAGAATATTCCACTTCAAAATATGCCTTTGTAAATAAAATCAAATATAGTTTCAAATTGCTAAGAAAAATTCTAAAGTTAAATTCAATTCTTTATAAGTGTATATAAAAGGAAAAAGCATTAAAAATTTTATGCGGTGATTTGAATATATTTGATAGAGGAATTTTTAAATGCAAATTGACTAAATGAACCGATTGCATTTTGTTGCATACTTTTAGGCGAATATTTCGTTGTGGATTTTAATTAAATCATCTTCCTGGGAATGTGGACCCTACAGACGAATGCTAAAATAAAAGTAGTTCGTTTCACGAACAACAATGCATACACCATTTATTTGCTAAGCCTAAAACTAATTTTTTATATGCTATCAACTAATCATTCACAATTATGCTGTTCTTTTTAACCAAATAATAATACCAATTGAAAAAATTAAACGAAAAAATGGCCACATTAACAAAAAAAAAGGTTTCATAAAATAAAAACGTCTTTGGATTTGGAAATTGTCTTCAGCTTTAGAAGGATCAAGGAACTATTGAAATGAAATGTGAAAATGCAGCGCAAAAAATTTTTCAAAATGCTAAATGGAATGACCACATTTTGTGGCATTTTTCGCACATTTTTGATTAAAACTTAGGCTAATAACATATTAGAAATTGTTGTCGTTTTGGTAGCAAATCTGCAAAAAAAATATTTGAATTTTAAGACTATATTAATTAATTAATTAATTATTAATCGTTCTAAAAAACCGAAAAACCAAATTTGTACAACAGAGAACCTAAGATGGATTTTCAAAACAAAAATTTTCAAAGAGAATATCAAATGGTCAATATTTATCTTTTGGCGCAAAGAAATGTCTATTATCACAATGGGAATATGGCGTGATAAAAAAAAAGATTGGGAATTTAATAAATTTCTATTTTATTTTATTTTATTTTAAAATTTGCCTTTTCTCTGGGGCTGGCTTCTCACAACGAAATAGTATGAAAATATGAAATGAACAATTTCAATGTTTATTCATTGAACATTTTAACATTGAATCAGTTTTTAAAGTTCGAGATTTTCAAAGAGGGTTGAATAAGTTAAACATTTTCATAGATCAAAGGTATAACCTCCGGCATGTTTTAATCTTCTGAAAGGAAAAATGCATTATTTGAAAACTTGAAACATATTCCATATTTCCAAGTGGACAAGTAAAAAATTAGGTTCGCCCAGACCTCAGAGTAAAGGAAACCTCCTTTCCAAGGTGGAGGTTATAAAAATCAGTTTGAATAACATTTATTTAAATACAGGAATTTAATCTATGCTTTTGAGATTTTTAGGCTCTCCAATTTATTTTTCAATTGTAAAACACATAGAATTGTTTTTTTTTTTAATTTTCTTAAATGTTTTCCACCAATTCTGCGTCATTGGATAATCGTTTTTCTACATTTTTGCCTGGAAAATAATTAAAACCATTTTGAAAATCTCTTAGGTTTTTATTTTAGAAAAAAAAAAAAAAAACAATTTCAAATAAAAAGAATCCTTAAAATCTAAAATTATCAATCATGCAATTTAGAATAGAGATCACATTCTTGAGTAGAGTTTTTTAATATCTAATCGAAATGTTATCAATTGATAACTTGAATTGTAAGTTTTTATCAAATAATAAAGTTCATTTTGGTTTCATATAAAATTTTGATCAAAATTTTTTTAGAGTATTTTTCTTTCGTTAACGTAGATTTACAAAAGATGCCTAAGACTAACACCTATTAACTACTACACTTAGCCTACGATTTTAAAATAGAAATACATTTTGGATCACGCTGCGCCAAATTTAGGGAATATTTTCAAATTTTGAAAACAAATATTCCTGTCACAGTTAAAGTGGTTTTTTTTTTCTTAAATGGTGTATGCTTAAAATTAAGTAGAGCAGGAAAGGAAGCTTGAGCTTAGTCGGAATTTTGATAAAAAATATGAATTCTTTAATCCCTTATAATGTGAAATGAATTCATATGAATTATAAAATATCGTATTCATGTATCGAGTAGTTTTGTAAATTTCTGTTTCTAGAAATAAAGAAAGTTTGCTTTTTTGAAAGTGAACAAGATTTCGAATATCCAATAGCGACATTGACAAATCCGAACGAAACATAAATAATTTAAATTATAAGGTTTCAATTTTGCAGACATCTTCAACCGGATATTCAATATTAGAACAGACGTGTAGAAAAACAATTTAGTAACCGTCTTAATGTTGTTGCTACAAAAACTAAAATCACTTGGAAAACTAGATTTAATTTCAATTCAAGGATTTTTTGTTTATCTCGTCACGGTTTTCAGTTATTCTTGGGGACATTCTTAAAGGGGATTTATCAATTCAGATGTTACTTAAATAAATGCAATTTGAATGTTTTCCCAATTTCGGGTTTCGAAAAATAGATGTAAATATTAATTTTTTAAGGTGTGTTCACTTCAATCAGATTTATTTTCATATTTATTATACAGTAGAATTTTGTACAAAAATATTTCAACGGTTTCGGGTTTCACGAGGCAAAAAAGATAAAAATATTACCTTCATATATTTAAGCTTGAAATAGTTATCAAAAATTTCAAATTTCGGAAACGAGACAGTAAAATCTAGAAATTGAAATTCCACATTAATCCGAAATTTATTTGCTATAATTAAATACATTTATTGTGAAATTGTTTAAACTTCGGAATTTAGCTCGTAACAAAATATTATTTCATAATCAGACCTTGAAATTCCAAAATACCCCCGATTTTTTCCATAGTTATTTTCCTTTTCTTATTCTCGAAAATTGTCTGTACGTGCTTCTGTGTTACTACTAATTATAATTAAAATTTGAAATAACATTTTGCAGCTTCTTTATATGATCCGATAGCAAAAGAAGCCATAAGAAACTAATTGTATTAATTACCAATTGTTTAGGTAAAGATGTACGGAAAAATTCACAAACTAAAAAAGTGAAATGTAACATTTTTGCTTTTCAATTAATGTCCTTAATTTATAATTATTATATACGAGAAGAAAGGGATATAAGTAATTATTATGTATAAAAAGTTATTAAATTAAAGCATTTGCTTTTTTTTTATAATGATTTTAAGTTAATTTTTTATGTTTATTGAAAAACACAGCATTATGTTTTTTAGTTTTTTTGTTGTTTTTTAATAAGAAAATATTAAATTTTCAAAAAAATCTATTTTTGAAAATGGTGATGTTTAATTGTTTTAAGAATTTTTTGGTGTTTATTAAGGAAATGAAAAAATCAAAAGAAATTGAAAATAAAAAAATAATAACAAAATTCAACAAAAAATAATAGACGTGTAAAATTGTTTATTAAGGTTTTTATTTTTTTGTTTTTCATTATATGTATATACATTTTACATATATATAGATAAAAAAGATTTATACATTTTATTTAAATGGGTTTGAAAAAAAATACTTTTGCTAAAAGAATAAAACTAAAAATTTATGTTTAAATTTATACCAAAAATAATAAAAAAAATAACAAAACAAAAAATAAATCAAAAGAAAATTCTCAAAATTCTTTTTTCTTCTCTCCAGTTTAGTTTTAAAATTACATGTGTTTTTTATTCGTTTTACTTTTTAACTAAAAAATGTTTTTTCCTTTTGTTGCCTTTTAAGGGAAAGGGGTTATGATTAAGTTAGGTTCGTTTGTATTTTTTTCTTTGTTAATAAAAAAATTTCACTAAATTATTTGAATTTATGTAGATTTACATAAATAGGAATTCATCGGAAAACAATTGCATGCAAGCAGCGGCTCCCAAGCCGCTGGGATTATTTTCATTCATATTTAGATTGGTGGCTGGGCCGCCAGTGCCAAACATGGCCTTGGGGGGTTGCATCAAACCACCAGCTGTAGCCTGGTGGCCGTTGGAACGCCAAATATCAGCACATTCATTGTTTGATGTTGATGTATTCGAGCTAATATCTGATATATTATCAGTTGTAATGGTGTTGTGTTGGCCATTCAGATTACTCCACAATTCTGGGAATAGGTCATGATGGTTAAATGCTGCTGCAGACGTCATAGCGCTGTTGGTATTATTAGCATTCTGCTGGGGTATTTCCCAAATATTATTCATTTTGGACAAACTCAATTCATTGGTGTCATACAGCAAATGGGCTTGCTGTTGTGATTGTTGTTGCTGTTGCTGCTGATTTCCAATTGACCAGGAGGTGGGTGAAGCATTGGTGGTGGACAATTTTGAAGAACCTGTATAATAGGTATCCCTGAGTTGGTTGCCACAACCTGAGCTACTGGTCGATGGTGAGGTCTGCTGCGACCACAAAGACTCCTTGCTGTTGCTGCGATAATTCGGTGCTGAAGTCAAGAGGGTGGGGACTCAACGAGGGCTGAGATCCCGAACCCGATGAACAACCACTGGAGCTCGACTCTGAGCCCCATAATGAAGAAATCATGGCCTCGCTGCAATGATTGGTTGCCATGGTTGAATCCAAGTTAAAATTGTTGGATGATGTTTGATATAGATTTTGGTGCTGCAAATGTTGCAATTGCTGTTGTTGCTGAGAGGACCAAATTTTACTATTCATATTCAATGTGGTTACATGATTATTGGCATTGTTACTAATTAATAAATTATTAATACTGTTATCATTATTTTGCTGTTGTTGCATTAAACCTAACTGGGGGCCTACTAACTGCTGTTGTTGTTGCTGTTGCTGTGCCATAAGGGCAGCATTGTGGGTTTTCATTGCATTAAATTCATTTAAATTAAAATTATTTGTCACTGTATTGTTGGTGGCAGCCTGCTGTGCCGTTGCCGTACTTAATTTACTAATATTACATTGTTCATTTAGTTTTAATGCTACATTATTAACAATTGTTGAATTAGCATTATTGCCCGCAGATCCTGCGCCGTTGTTATTAGTTGCGTTGGCATTGGTGGCGGAGGTAGAGGGTGAAGTAGTGGATGACGTCACAGACGCTGCTGCCCCATTGGCATTGTTGTACGAAGACGAACGCATACCATGCCCGGCCGTTGGTCTTACCTGTGTTGTCCTCCTGGCTGCTGTGATTTGTGATATTGTTGAGCATGGGGATGGGACCCAATCAATTCGGCATTGATTTCCTGTTGCAGTGGAGCCGAATAGTCAATATTGGGATTATACAAGACCACCTTTTTGTTGTTGTTGTTGGCGACGGTGGTCTTTTGTTGAGAGAGGCTCGTTGAAGTTACCCCAGCCGTTGCTGATTGTCCGGCGGCTGTGTTTGTTGGCAACTCCAACGAGGCCTCATGTTATGCGATCGCAGACAGGCGGCCCGTCAAGCATTTGGTGTAGCAGTAGGTCAATGGTTTAACGAAATGGGTATCCTGAGTGGCACAATAGGGGCATGTGACACAGTGCGAATAGTCACTGTAGAAATTGAGACGTTGCTGTGGATGTAACAGCAATTTGAAGCAATTATTGCACTGGAAGAGATAAGAATAAGGAAAAAAGTCGATTTACATATCTTGATGTAGGTTTATTAAACATATTGCTAATTTATAAAAGTTTTTTTCGTACACTATATTAAATGTTGGGAAATATATTTAAAATATATTGTCAAGGCAATATTAATGCCTTAAAAAGTTCGGCCTTAGGAAACCGGAACTCTTTTCGTGTTTTGATCTACAAACCGAGTACTATCAAATCACTTCGGAATTTTCCATAACAACTCAGATTAAAGTGTCGAAAATAAGAAAAAAATCCCAAAAAATGAAATTTGATCAGGAGTATTTCTTCCTTTGACTCTTTCCCCAACAAAATTCCATTGAGGCAGATTTTTTAAATGTGTTGAATTAGCAACAGAAAACGTCAACACACAAATTTCACTTCTAATATACAAATTTCGAATATAATTTTCTTATATAAGGTACATGGTTTATTCTAAAATTTGTGGTGAAATATTGTATAGAATATTTCTTCTTCTGGCATTTTGTGTGTAAAAGGCAATTTATACCTTCATGCATCAACTCGAAAAATGTCCAAGGAAAAGTTGATCAAAAAATTAGGATATGGGATTTGTTTTGCAACATGGATGCAAACACGTTCTTGAAATGAAATGGAATTCAAGATTTGTTCTTTAGTGACTTATAGTGAATTTTGATGGAGAATATCTTTATCTTCGACGTTGTCCGTCTAAATTAATGCTTTGTAGGAGAATTTCGCAAAAAATCTTATGAAGTAAGGTTTAAACCCTAAAATATCTATGAATTCCTGGCGTTGCACTTTTGATGTATTCTGGAAGCTATAGTGGAAATCTATGACAGATAAAGCTGTAAAATGTGTTGACTTGCTACGACCGCTCAAGGGGTTAAAAATACTGACATAAATAAATTTTCCCTCTCGATTTAGGAAATTTAGGGATGCAAAATTTCCAAACGCTTTTCCAAAACTCTGTTCCACTTTAAACTTCAAATACCAGTAAGACCTTTTGGATAAAGCAGATAAAATTTTCAAAAAAAGAAACATAAAGTGAGTGAGCCCGTTGTATGTGAGCCATACCCAAAAGTGTATTTTTTTGAACATCTTGATATTACTAGGATTGTTAAATATTGCAAGTCTTAAATGCCAAATTTGAAAAAATTCCGTAGGTAAATGTGACTAGGATTATCAAAATACCGAATATCAGTGGGTACCATTATATGGCGGCTCTAGGGAAACATATTGAATGTTCTGACACTGGAGCGAAAATCCATTAAGAACTATAAATAATGTGACAAAAGTCATCAAAATACCGAATATCGGGAGGTACCGTTATATGGGGGCTATACTAAGACTTGGAACTATACATATATAGAATGTTCTGCCACCGGAGCTAGAATCCATAATGACCTACAAATACCAATTTTTAGACAAATCTGTGGAAGGTACCATTATATGGGGGCTATACAAAAACGTGGACCTATACATGCAATGTTCCCCCCGTGAAACTTAACCCAATTTTGACCTACATATACCAATTTCTATACAAATCCATCGAAGAATGTGGCGTAAATCATCAAAATACCGAATATCGGGAGGTAACGTTATATGGCGGCTATACCAAAACGTGGACCGATATATCCCATTTTCCATACCAACCATCCTAGACACAAGACAAGTTGTTCCGCTCTTAGTCAAATAATGTGAGCAGTATCGTGATTTCAACAAACCAACAGACGGACATTGTTAAATCGAATTTTATGCTGATCATGAATATATTTTTATGGGGTCTATGACGAATATTTGGGGAATGACAAAGTTAATATACTCTCCTATTCAAGGTGGAGGGTATAAAATTAATCTTCCAGTATTGTAGTATGAAAATGAAATATATCCGTCTAATTTTCGTAGTACCTTCCTCCCAAAATGGGGAAATGTATAAAAACGAACTTAGCTTACGATTCTGCTTAAATTTGAAACACATCAATTGGTATCATAAACAACTATGAATAATTTATTTCCAGATCTCACGAGCCACACGCATTTCGAAAATTGAGTCGTATACATGTTGAATTTTGATACGCTCAAGTAAAACTAGTCAGTTATGCGATGGAAACCATATTATGGGAATCAAATTGAAAAATTCTTGGTTATTAGAAAAAACATATTTACATAAATTTACACAAATAATTTTAATTTTTTTTATATGAATATCTTTTATTTGTGTTACATACATTTCTACTTGTACTTACCTTGAGACGTTCTGCACAACATGGCATAGCAGCAAATATATCATAAGCATACATGGTACCCAAGACTAGATTTGAACCGTCCCATTTTTCAGCACAAAACCTACAATGATAAACAAAAAAAATATTAATACAATTTTAAATATTTTTATTTCAGAAAACCAATTTTGATAAATGCTGAATATTAAACAAAAAAAAAAAACATACCTGCAGCTAATGTTACGATGAGTAGAAGTACCATCCAAACAGCGCATGCAAACGCAAGTCAAATAAACAGAGCGTCCTTCGTATTTCACCTGGAAGCAAAAGAGAGAAGAAACAAAATAAATTTAAAGAAAATGTAACAATCAAAAATCTTGTGCAAACAACAAACAAAGGAAGTACTGCTGAAACTGACATTTTACTTCCTCTGAGGGTGTAAAAAACTAATGTAACAACCCTTCACAAAACAAACGGAAGTGGAAGTCAAACTTTAGGCTTGAACAAAGAAGTTGTTTTTTTTTTTTGTTATTCTTTCGAAGAATAAAAAAAAACAACAAACAATTGCCGAAAGTCAAGTGCAACTGTGGAAGAGATAAATGGTCATGTAGCATGGCCAAAAGGCGACAAAACAAATCAAAAATAACAGTAGACACAATATGACATGAAAAAGGGAGAACCAGCCAGCAATGCAATTCTTTGGTGCCGACCGGCCAGTAAAACAAATTCAGAACAAGTACCAGGAAAAAACAACGAGCCTTGCAAGGAACGTTGGATGCATTTGGGTCGTAAATTAAAAAGAAAAAAAAAAACACAACCCAAACATGCAACATATTTCAGTGGGTGACAGACAGCCAGCCAAAACAGACTAACACAGGCCTGGCCTGGTCTGGCGATGAAGGCAACATAACGGCAAAAAGGATGGCTGTAGTGAAAATTGAGGCAAACAGCCAGACAGCCATGGCACAAGTCATCAAACATTATCAGACATTGTTTGTTTGTTGGGAACATAATAAACGCCTCCTAAACTGACAGCCACGAGACAAACAATGAAAAATTATAACCAAAAGGAAAAGACAAATAAATGAAAAAAAAAAAAGAACGCAGTGCAGCATTAAACTTTCTATCCATACTCGTCCGTCGGTCGGTCGGCGATTGGGCTAGGTTAAGAAGAAACCTCCGAGAGGAAGGAGGGAGTGAGAGAGAAAAAAACATTTCCGTAAACCCACAACATCCCACATACAATAATACCAAGTTAATATTTTTTCTCTGCTGTCACAAAATGAAAAAGTTTCAAATTAATGCATCATGTTGTTGTTTTATTTTTTATTTACATTTTTCCTGAGTTTGACGATCAGAAGGGAACAGATATATTAATTTGATATAAATGCATTTTGCAATGCAATAGAAAATAGAATGAATGACTGACACATAACTTGTGCCCAATATGACACATGTTGGATGCAAGGAAAGTTGCAAAGCTTTCCACCAAATGGTAAGTAAATCTTTCAAATATGAACGCCCACATACTCCCGAAAGAGAAAATAACCCAGTAAACTCAGAGCGAAGTAAATAAGATTCAAAATAATGCGTGGAAAATAAAGAAGTTTCTATTTATCAGGAGGAGAGAAAAAGGTATAGACTAAAAATGGTCTCATCTGCTATCTCCGAAAAAAGTGCTCCAATAGATGTCTTTTGATGCTGTGAGAGAGCTTAAGTCTTTTTACTCAATTCTTTAAAAGCACAAAATATCGAATATTTTTATTATTTATCAAATGAAAACAAGGCAGTGACTTTCTATACATTTATACGATATTTCAGACTATTCCAAATTCTGGATCAACATTGAATGCTTTTGTGAACTTCTTTTCGATTCAAAAATATAAAAATTATTTTTTTTTTTGTAAAAATTTTCTATGGCGAATTGTTATTTAACGACAAGTGGAAGTGTTTGGTTGTAAGTCGTACCTAAAGCTTTCAAACATCAAAAATCTTGAGATACCAGCACTTTACAAAATCTATACCAAACATGATATGTGGGAAGAGTTGAAATCCCGAGAATCTAAAAAGTCAAATTAAGTATAATTTAGTTCAAAATACCTATAGAACATTTGAGATTCGTAAAATCGGAAAATATTGTTCTATGGGGGCTAGAGTTACACTCAAGTTTTTTTATGTCCTTACCCAAAACGTGCCTCATCGAAATAACGGTTTTAGACCCTAGGTCTCTTTGGACCAAATCCGTTTCAGGACATTTGAAGTCGATCTATAGATGTCCGTTCGTCCGCCTGTCTGGCTAGCTGGTGCGCACATAACTCTTGATCGTAATATTATTGTCAAAATTAGATCGAGTTCGGAGATGGGCAATATAGGTCCACTCCTTCTGGTACCTCTCACATAAAATGTCAATATTTTTAAAGAAATTAATTTACTTCGCAGAAAGAAAAAGTATAATCTGATTTAGCTCCAACTTTACAAATCCTAATATTTGCATTAGTGCTAGGTCAGGTGCTAAAATAGATAATATCGGTCCACTCGATCAAGTGCCTCCCCCTCAAAGCGTAAAAATTTTGAATAATTATAACTCTCATAAAATGTGATGTAAGTGTCCGATTATCTTCAAATTATACATATCATAATATTTTCATTAACACAAGGTCTGGTGTAAAGATGGAAAATATCGGTTCCCTCGTTCTGGTACCTCACCCACAAAGAGTCAAAATTTTGAAAAATTTATGAAGCTCATAAAACACGAAATTAACATCGGATTCAATTCATTCCATTGACATATCTCAATATTTCCATCTACACATGATCTGATATAAATATGGTAGAGATCGGAATATTCCATCTGGTACCTCCCCACATAGGGTTCAAGATTTTGAAAAAAAAAAAAAAAAAGCTCAAAGAAATCGATACAAGCATTCAACTCTCTTCAAATGTCACACATGCAAATATTTTTTCTAACGCAAGATCTGTTGTAAAGATGATATACATCGGCGAATCCCTTCTGGTACCTAACCCACAAAGGATGACAATTTTCAATTCTTTTATCTGTCATAAATTGTGAAACAAGTCGGCGATTCTTTACAACTTGCTATATCGAAATATTTCTCTTTCTGATATTTATGATTTCGCATAAAATTGGATATAAATATTCGATTTCCTTCAAATTTTGCACATACCAGTATTTTTATCTGTATTAGATGAAGTATGAAAATTGAATACTTCTGTCAACTATATCTGTTACCTCGCGAATATATCCACATTGTCCTAAAATTTGCACATATCTCATATAAAGTGTAGGAAGTAGTCGATAAAGTCCGAATCTAGCACGTAGTAATATTTATATCAGTCTTAGGTCAGATACAAATTGGAGCAAATTGTGGTATATTAGGTACCTTCCAAGATTCAATATGATTTTTTTTATAAACAATTTGTGTTCGAGGTTCTAAGAGGCCCATCTCCGAACTCGAACGAAGTTTGTACCAAATCGGACCCGTCGAAAGTTATTCCTCGCACAGACAGACCTTTTTTGCCGTATTTCACCCATAGGGCCGATAACAATTTGTCTGAAATCTTCGAATACTGAATAACCAATAACAAATAGTTACATATCTTGAAAATTTTCTGCAAGGAGGGTTTCCACCTTCTGAGAACCTGGAAAGCCACATTAGGATTAATTAGCTTGGACAATGTAATACAAAATAATTTGCGAGGTGAAATGGTGCACTTCGGACTTAAACGTTGTGTCAATGTGGCTCATTGCATGAAGAAACGATATTTTCGGCAAAAAGAATGTAAGCGTTCGAAATGTAACAAATAGTTTCACTGGGTTGCCCAGTCACCACATAATCATCCATTAATGCCAGACACCAGTATGCACATCACAAGACATCAGTCGTAAGTGTAATCAAGCAAAATTTTCATTGCAACATTTTCTTTTTTGCCAAACACAAACTGCATTTTAGGGTTAAACATTAAATGCAGCTTGCCTGGTCTCTTCAATGGATCTAAATTCAGATAGGCGGCATTAAGTGGGTAAAGAAGGATGGATGGAGAAGGTGGCAACGGTGGTATGTAAGTGTCAGGGTATATTAAGGAATGTGTCTGTGCCAAAGTGTAGACATAATCATTTATAATACAACAACAACAATCGAAAAAGGAACATTGTTGTTGGTAAGTAAGATGCAAGGTAAGGCACACGGTTGGATGGATGGATGAATGAATGAATGAATGAATGGCTGCTGGACAGACATACTCTTAACTTTCTGCAATTGCATTAGGAGTTAAACTTTTGCCAAACTTTAGCCTAACCCACACACAAAATGGTTTTGGAAAACATATGCAGTTCATCTGCACTGCACACACCATCAGCCAGGCCCGGGTATCATTCAAAGGTTGCCAAGCCAAACTGAATGAAGGATGGATGGCTGGAAAAGTTTAACATTAATGCTAACTTAGTTAGGAAAGCAGTTAAAAGTTTTTATGGTCCGCAAAAGAACATCGGTGCGAGTATAATTGTAGGACTGAGTGACTGTCTGAAGAAAAAGTAGAAAGTTGAGACTGCATAGATGAAGAAACCAACACAACGCCAAAGGAGAGAAGTTCAAGGTGTTCGTTCTGTCAGGGTTTTATGGCATTTAACATAGTTAATACGTATGCAGACGCCAAGAAGTCACAAGCCCACACCAGCAGTTGTGGTTGTGGGCACTCCAAAAGATGCAAGACGAAATGGAACATTAAAGTCGATTATTAGCGTTGGGTTGTTGGTGTTGCTGCTGCATTTTGGCATAATTATGGTGGCTTAAATGTTGCATAAATTGCACTGACAATGAATGCATTTTATTGCGTTTGCAAGACACATTGCCAAAGGAGTCGTCACCATCCGGGCCAGCGACCAAATGAGTATGCCGCCTTGCCTTTGGTAATGAAAAGTGCCACAGAGTAAAATGTTATAAGCTCTAAACAAGATTTACGACAAAAACAAAGGAGTGTGTGTGTGCCTGACGACGTGCATCTTTTGTGGTTCTAAATTGCTGAAATCCCTTTATACCTTTTAACGGTATTATATCCTTGTAATATTTTACATTTTCTTACCGTTACTTCCGCTTGACAATATAAAGGCATTATAGCCGACTAACAATGTTGGAAATGTAATTTTTATTATTAACAAATGGGGGATACAGTTTTCTATAAATTATGTGACAAGATTGTCGAGGAAGTATGATATGAGAGGTAGAACAATGCAATTACTAAGAATTTATTTGGATGAATGATATTTTGTATTTTGGCGGGATAGGGGGAAATACATATGTATATGGACAGAATTTTTTATGTATAAATTATGTATCTATACAGGGTTATATGAAAAAACTGCAACCAACTTCAGACTGCCACTTATCCGACAGCTGTTATTTGTTGTGTGATTTCTTTATATTTGGCTGGTAAACCACAAGTGGCTATCCTTAGAGTACTCCAGCATTTGAATGTGAATAAATCGTTTGTGTCTTGTACCATCGCTCGTTACCGTGATACTGGTAGCGTAGCCCGACGTTAAGGAAGTGGACAGAAGAAAACAGAAACATCAGCAGAAATGGTTCCAAAAGTAAAGAAACGACTTGATCGAAACCCTCGTCGCAGTGGCAGAAAAATGGCTCGTTAGCTGAACATATCGCAATATTCCATTCGGCGGAATATTGAAAAGTTAGCTCGGGTAAAGCCATATACATTCCAAAATGTGCAAGAACTTACACCGCAACATAAAGAAAATATACTCAAAAGACCTAAAGAGTTACTTCGCTTGGCCGAAAGTGGTGAACTGGGTTGGGTTTCTCCGATGAGAAAACATTCGTTGTCCAGCAGATGTCGTGTTTACTTGCCAAAGAGGTCGGCTGAAAATATGCATCATCGTCGGTTGGTCACCAGAACTTAAGCCCCGGCCATGGTGGTGGTGTGGGCCGCCATAACAGCCGATGTTAGCTCCTCCGCTTGTATTAACCGACCGTGACATCAGGAGGGTGTATTAAAGCCTTGGACACGCAAACATTTTGGCCGCAGACCTTGGACATTCCACCAGGGCTCTTCACCATTGCATTCAGCACGCGCCACCCAAGAATGGTTACAAAATGAGGTTCCTCGCTTCATTTCTGGCCCACAATGTCCACCAAAATCTCCGGATACCAATCCGTTGGACTATTGTGTCTGGAGTATTTTGGAAAGAAAGGTTGGCACTAAAAATACCAAAGTTTCGATAACCTCAAGCTAGCGCTTCGCCGAGAATGGGCCAAAATACCGCAGAGCAACATTGAGGCAGCGTGTGATGGTTTCATTGGGCGTTTCATAATTCGTACTAAAGGTGACCGATTCGAACAAATATAAACTTATTCTAAAATTTGATGCTATTTCCGACATGTTTTTCTTTCATTCAATAAAATTTAAAAAGGAATGTAAAAATCTGTTTATAAAAGAGAACTGGTTGAGTAGCTAACTAACAACACCTAGCCAAACCCTTTGAAATTGGAGTCATTTTGGTGAACTAGGAAAGATATTTGTTACGAAATGTTGTTACATAAGCATTTAGTCGGACTATATTGAACAATTCTAAAATTGTTTGCATTGATTGATTTGTGATTAATTTTTGGAACCTAAATCTGGTAGATGTCATACATATTTATTTGTTTTAAAAAATCTTGTTGTTTTTTCTTTCTTTAAAAAAATTGGCTTCTTTCAACTTACCTCAATGCAATCCGTCGAATGTTGTTTGGGACTCAAAAAGAATGTGCCATCGACCAAAGGATAACGGTCGAACACCAACATTGGTTCTTCACACAAAATGCAAGCGACGCGGCTCTTCTGTGACTGAGCCAATGATGAGAGAATGAAAAGTCTGGTTTCATCATTGCCATGATTACCCTCGTCTTCAATCTGCAATAAAATACAAAGAAAAACATATTAACAAACATAAATAACTCGCACAAATACATGAGATATAAAGATAGAGAAAAAAAATTGAAATTGAAACCATAAATATGAAGCATTATAAGCCTTTTGATAACAACAAGGACATTGACCATGAAGAATGTGAGTTCAAAAGGAAAAAATATGCTTTCTGCTGCATATGCTTAAAATATCAATATTATTCCTCCATGGCTAAAGGTGTAACGGCATCACAAGGATTACGTTTACTAAAAGAAGGAATCCGTTCAGTGTTTTTTTTTTTTTTTGGTTTTGTTAAATCCTACCCGAAAAAAACTGCATACCCACTTGTTATGGTTTGGTGGTCTCATATGTGAATACTGGGATCTTTACTATACTATATTGTCTTAAATTCCAATTTTCTGTGTTGTTGTGCTGCTTCGAATGGCTGGCTATATATATATATATATTGTATTTTGGCGGCGCCAATAAATGAAGCATAAAATGAAAACGTGCCACTTGCCAACAACAAAAACAAAAGCAATATTGTTCGGCTACCAGTTATGGTGTCTGCTGCCATGAAAGGAATATTCAATGAAATATCAACACAGCCGAAAAAAAAAATCATATATTATGAACTCTATCCCTATAGGGGTAGACAGTGTTTTCTTCGTTTTTTGGTTAACATATACATGTTATTGTATTCGAAAATGAATTCAATTGTCCTATACATAGTCACATTCACTGTAGGAGAAAATGTGTACCTTAAATTAAGACTTAAAAATTCAATATTTTAAATATATAAATAATTATTTTTAAAATTGTGTTAATTTTTTTGAAAGCATATTTTTTTTCACTGATCTATAATATAAGATAATAAGATATATCTTGTCATAAGCTTTATAATACCAACAAATATTCATTTCAGGCCCCATAAGGTACAATATTTAAGGTACCAATTGAAAATAAGATTTTTAAAATATTCTTTTAGGAAAAATTAGAGAGCGAATAGAAAGCCTTAGGACAGAAGTTTAATTAAAAAAGTTTTACAAGAAGTTTACTCTCCGCGTATAGGTTTTGTGTAGGAGCGGTCGCGATTTTTTGGAAAGTCAAAATTCTTCAAATAGAGCAAGAGTTTACACATCCAGATAATTTTACCTGTCTTACAGCAAGTGTGAAAATTAAAAAATCGTCCCAAGAGTTTAAAATTCAGAGAAATACATATTTAACATACAGGGTGAGATAAAAAAACCGCAAAAAAGCCAAACGCCAAAATTTTTAAATTTTATTGAATGAAAACAAAAAATGTCGGAAATAGCATCCAATTTTAGAATAAATTTAGGTTTCTTCGAATTGGTCACCTTTGGCACGAATTACGGCCAATGAAACCGTCACACGCTGCCCGAATGTTGCTCTGCGGTATTTTGGCCCATTCCCATTCTAAGCGCTTGCTTGAGGTGATCGACACTTTGGTATTTAATTAGTGTCAACCTTGCTTCCCAAAATACTCCAGACACAATAGTCCAACGGATTGGTATCCGGAGATTTTGGTGGCCATTGTGCGCTGGAAATGAACCGAGGAACCTCTTTTGTAACCATTCTTGGTTAGCGCGTGCTGAGTACCATGGTGCTGAGTCCTGTTGGAATGTCCAAGGTCTGCGGCCAAAATGTTTGCGTGACCAAGGCTTTAATACACCCTCCAGAATATTTTCGAGAAAATTTTCGGCATTTATTCTAATGCCACGGTCGATTAATACGAGCGGAGAGCGACCATCACCATGGCCGGCGCTTGAGTTCTGGTGGCCAACGGAAGATGCACATTTCAGCTGATCTCTTTGGCAAGTAAACATGATCATTTTGTTTGTTTACTAACTGCTGGACAAAGAATGTTTTCTTATCGAAAAAAAACAATTTCGGCAGTTCACCACTTTCGGCCAAGCAAAGCAACTCTTTAGCTCTTTTGAGTCTATTTTCTTTCCGTTGCGTTGTAAGTTCTTGCACTTTTTGGAATTTCAATGGCTTTTCCCAAAGCTCATTTTTCAATATTTGCTGAAGGGAATATTGCCATACAGCCACTGCATCGCGGGTTTCTATCAAATCGATTCTTTACTGTTCGAACCATTTCTGTTGATGTTGCTGTTTTCTTTCGTCCACTTCCTTGATGTCGGGCTTCTCTACCAGAATCACGGTAATGAGCGATGGTATGAGACACAAAAGATTTATTCACATTTTAATGCTGGAGTGCTCTAACGATAGCCACTTGTGGTTTTCCAGCCAAATATAAAGAAATTACACTATCACGCTTGAATTCCATTACGAATAACTTTTTTTCTGGAAAATTCTCACCAAAATGCTGTTACTGGAATAATTTTGCTGTTGGGCGGAGTGGCTTAAAAATAACAGCAGTCTGAAGTTGCTTGCAGTTTTTTCATCTCACCCTGTACTTTGTTTTTAAGGTCTAATTGTGGATCTTAAAGAATAACTGTTGCTGTTTAAAGTCTATCGAGAATCTTCAAAAATATCTTTATTGATTTTTGAAGAACTTATATATATACTTTTCAAATATAATAATCATTTTAAGAATATTATTTCAAGAACTATTGGGTACTATCACAGCGAGTTTTGTACAATCTTAGAATTTTTCAAAGGTTATTTTAAAATTTATATTTTTAAGGAGTAAAAAAACTATAATCGTGGAATTTTAAGAATATTTTTTTAAGAAGCTTCAAGTCTAAAGTCGTGAATTCTTGAGGATATTTTTCAAAGTTAAAATCATTGATTTGTGATAAAATTAATTGTAATCTTATTATTTTATTAATTCGTATTTTTTATAATTGTTTATATTTTTTTCTTAGCATATTTTTTTTTATTCCTTTACATTCTTCACCTTTACCTCATCCATTTAATGCAATTACATACGTAAGTACTATTAAAAGTACAATAAACTCAGGTCGGTGGTATTCGTATAACAATTTTCAGATTCTTGCAGTTTTCCACATGACACGAGTGAGTGTTGCTGCTTAAATTCTTAACCTTTGTCCGACAGACCTTTATCAGTTTTTGGCTGTTTGTCGGTCGGTCTTTTATTATATCCTTCATGAGAAAATTGGTTTTTATTGTTTCTCGTTCATGTTATAAGTCTTTACCTTTTCGTTCACGAATACAAATAATGTAGAGAAATATATATGTGCATATATTGTGTGGTCGTCGTCGCAATTGATTGTAAAACAAAAACAACAACAAAAATGTTTTCTTCACTCACACACACACACACACACCAACAAACACTTGACGACTCCAGCAAAGAATATTGAAATAAATTGATTGTAGTATATGCACGTGGGTTCATCTATATATGAAGCTATACGAATAAAATTAGCTTAGCTTAGGATATATATTGCACGTTTTCAAGAGAAAGAAAAATTTAGCAATTTATCTTCGGTATGTTTGCTGTTGCCTTATTTTATAAGAAAGCTATATTCCTTCTTTTTTTTTTGGGATCATTCAAAGGAATATTTGTGGGCGTTAACATTCATATGCCCTTACAACTTTATTTGTTGTTATTGTTTTTTGGTTATTGCATTTTTATTATCAATTTACGTACTCTCATTTACTAAATAATTCAAATTGTCATAGAAGAAAGTAAAGAAAGGTACATTCACATGTCTGGCTGTTCCCCTATATTCAATTTAAGACAAATACACTTGATATCTGTATGTATGCATGCATGCATGTATGTATGTATTCGTCACCGTGAGTGTGGCACTTAAGGACCTTGCATGTTGTATTATTTAAGGTAAATTCAACATCTAAAGGTTACATGACCCTTAATAAAATTATTGGTATTTGAGAACAAACAAAAAATGTATTGTTGCTTTTGTTTTCGTACATTGCTTAGCACAATGACTCAGTGGAATTTTCACAGACAATTTATTAGTGAACCCTCCTTGGATATGGCACATTTCTAAATTATGACAAAGGTGAGAATTTCAAATTAATTCTGGAGAAAAAAAAAACATTTTATTCCAGCTACTTAAAGTACACAAGAGAGCATGATGTCTCGCCAAAATTTGAAATTGATTAAAAAACCTTGGATCCTATACTAATAAGGAAAAAAATATTAGACAATTTGAGGATGATGAAGTATGTATATACCAATCATATGTGGCGAAAAGTTATGGGTATGTAATATATACAAAAGCCACTGAAGATTAAACAAATATATATTTTTCCCAGGATATCCTTAAAAATGTAGAACAAAAACCCAAATTTTTGTTCCAAAATAAAAATTAAGGGAAGTGATAAAAAATACCCCGATTGTATGCCAGTAAGTCCTGAAAACTGTATTATGTTTACTAGGAATTTTTGGATAATTTCACTATATTTTATTGCAAAAACGAAAGTTTAAAAATATCCTCAAAAATCTATATTTTTTCCGAAAATTCCTTATTGAAATTAACTTTAAAAATTTTCAATTGTTGCTTAAAATCTTTACCCAAAGTGTAAAAGTAGTCAAGTAGTCTTCAAATTGAAAGGAAATAGGTCCTGACAATTTATAATGTGTACGTAGGAATCTTGAAAAAAGTTTAATATTTCTCAACACATGGTAGATCAGAAATTCTTGATTGATGACTTCTAAAAAAAATCATAATCTTTGTCCAAATGTCTTTGTTACAAATAACCTTAAAATTACAGGTTTTCGGTTAAGATTTTCGTCCAGAAAAATACCCTTTAAAAAAACTCTAAAAAATCGGGTTTTACAGTCACGGTGTCTTTTACCAAATATTTTTATACCCTCTACCTTGAAGAAGGGGGTATATTGACTTTGTCATTCCGTTTGTAACATCCATAAATATTCGTCGTAGACCCCATAAAGTATATATATTCATAATCAGTATACAATTCTAAGTCTATTTAACGATGACCGTCGATCTACCTGTCCGTCGTTCTGTCTGTCTGTTGAAATCACGAAACAGCCCACATTATTTGATGTAGAGCGTCAAAATTTA